GGGGGGGGGTGGCTGGTAGTAGTAGTAGAGTAGCAGCAGCAGCAGCAGCGGTAGTACTGGTAGGAGGAACAGGTTTTCGTAGATTCTTCTATTTTGGCTAGACGCGTCGTCTTGCAGGGTACCTTCCTGTGGACATTGGCTAGGTCAACGCAACACTGTTGAGGCCTGGGGGCATTCACAGGTTCGGCTCAGGCGGCGAAGTTTAGCCAACCCGTCATCCAGATATCCGTCAGCTATACCCGCAACAGAGGCTACAAGCTTGGGTCCGTGGAAATTGCAGGCAGAAATCAATAGGAACTCAGCTTCACCCGAGTGCGTGAGGCTTGCTAGAGACACCTCAAACTCGATGCCGGCTTTCAAGCTGCGTAATACCCGTGTAAGTCTCGTAAGTGATGTGCCCACGACCTGAGCGTTTTATCTGATTGCGCCGCCTTTTCGGAATCGAACTTGGTGGTGTTACATGCACAGCTGCTACATAGCGGCTGTGCGCCGGGCAAATCCCCGAAGGCAAAAAAGTCATTGCAGCTATCAAGTTCCCTCATTCGGAGTAGCACTCATATGGCACATCGCTGCTGGCAACCAAAATCGACACGGGATTTGTGCTTTCCTTGGGCGAGTTTCTGCGACACTGGGCAAGTGCTTGTCGGAAAAGGCCCGAGGCAAGCATTGCTCCTGTCAACGATATGGACAGGGCTCGCAGGCACAATAACATATTCTAGCTAGTATATTTACGTTGCCAGACATAGGCTCTCAAGGTGCTGCATGCACTGTCCAACCTTACACCCCTCAACACTGAATCCAAATGAAAGGAGCGGGCAAACCCTGTAAGTCAAAGACTTCATCCCATGCCGAAACGAATCAGGATCGGGCCCTGTGTTTCGGGGTTTTGGGTTTCAAGATTTGCGACATATCATGTGCTGGTCCGAGCCTTAATGCGCAATACAGCGGCCTGCTTGGATCTTCCGTGCGACCGGCCGTGGGTAGGGTAGGAGTACTGCTGCAGGGGTTTGTATGCTCCGCATGAGGGCCTAGAGTCCATATTGTGCAGGGAGGCTCGGCTAGATCAAGCTGTGATGTAGGGGCCAGTGGTGTGAGGGCTGCATTGTTGCAGAGTTTTTCGCTGCCTCAGACAGACCTGAGATACGTACTCTAGCTGAGCCTCTTGTTTTGCACCATCTTTCCCTCCAGCATTAGGGTTTCAGGGTGCTTGGTCGTTAAGTGCAAGTCAAGGGTTTACGAGCAGGGCGAGGGTTTTTTGTTGTCAAGGGTTTACATATACGTTTGCAGGATCGAAAGACAAGTGCATCAGGATCAAGAGCTTTTAGCTCAGGCTTTCAGGGTTCACGGCTACATACAGGCTTAACGGCTTAAAGGCTGAAGGTTTAAGAGGCTTTGAGGTGTTAGAGCCTGAGACATGAAGGCTCCAAGGGTTCAAAAGTGCTCGGTTGAAACTACTTCATGAACCTTCGTAGATGCATCAGTACTAATGCATCCTTCTAAACACGTCGAGTAGCGGCTACGGCTCCCGTTTCCTCGGTCGGGCGCTCCGCGAGCAAGGTTGAAGTAAATTGTGTTTTCCAATGATCATTTGCTTGTCTCAGGCAGTGGCGCGGGTGCGTGTGGCTGCCAGTTCAATCGTTTAGTTTTCGGGGTGGGCAACCTCGTTCAAAATGGATTGTAAGTAAGAGTTTTTTCGTGCTGGTCCCAGAATTGATAGTCTGAGACTCCACAGCCAGGGTGTCCAAGATTGGCCTTCTACCACGGGTATCGCCTCAGGACGCCTTTTGGGTTCGGGATGATTCAGGGTTTGGGATTTCTGGTTTCAGGATTTGGGGTTGAGGGTGCAGGTTTCGTGTAGGGTAAAGGCTTGCTTATGACTACATCTTGGAGCGGCTGGACTTTGTTTCATTGCTGTGCCGAAGCTGGTGTAAACTCTTGGCTTCGTGTGGGCAGCGGTTGATTACACGCTTGGGGTTAAGGGTTCGCTCGGGTATCTAGTATATGTCGCAACTTAGAAAACCTCCGAGTCGAAATCTTTTTAAAACCATGCTTCTGATTAGGGCTCATGGTGAAATCCTATGTCACCTAGTCAACAGTTATGTTCGTGCAAGGCTTCAGAGCTTGCACGAGGTTTGTGTCTGTGGTTTACGACTTTTGAGTGGTTCGGGCTTAAGGGTTCCGGAGCTTAGGGTTCGGGGGTCCAACAGGTTGGGGTTACAATATCAAAAGGTCGAAAAAGGCCCGAGTCTTTCTGTCTTGCACTTGTCAACGGTTTTTTAGACCTGTCAAGGCTTTGCATATGCGGTTGTGGGTCAAGGGGCAAACAACACGTCAGGATCAAGTAAGGGTATTAGTCTTCCGGGTTAAGGCTTAGAAGGGTTTAGAGTTTGGAAATTTAGGGTTCTAAAGTGGCAAACTTGAAGCCTTTGTCACTAGTCCTTTCAATCAAACGGTACAAAGCAGAACACGTGCGAACAGCGGCTGCTGTTTGAACTTCTCCAGTCGCCCCGTTGCAGGGCGAAGCCTCCGCATCTTTAAGTAAATTGTGGTGATTGAGCCCCCTGGCAGGGTTCAAGTGAACCTGCCGGGGGGCTCAATCAACTCAATTTACTTAAACCCTGCCGGGGCGCTCAATCAACTCAGTTTACTTAAACCGAGGAGCTCGGGTGGTTTGGGGGTCCAAGAGATTAGTTATATATGATCAACCAACAAGTACAAGGGTGAACAAGGCCCATGTGTTTTTGGTTAATTACACCTGTCAATGTCTGTATTTGTGTATTGATGTAGGTCGCTTTCTTTGATGAGATCAAGGGACAAAGAGGGCGTTAAGGTTTTGAAGAGGGAAATAGGCTTCAAGGCTTCAGGGTGTTTAATGTTAGGACGGGTTGTTAAGGCGGGGAGCGATCCAAACACGCACGAGCCGAGAGGCTCGGCTCCTGCAAGGCCTCTGCATCCATTGGCTTGTTGTGAGTGTAAGTAAATTGACTTGTTGAGCTCCTGCCTAAGCCTTACAAGGCGCCCCTAGCGTGCAAGGCCGGCTCTTTTCTATGCGCCATGCCTAGGTCAGCTCGTGCCCGGCCTTCGTTCTGCTGCCCTGCATCCTGGAACAAGTCCAACCAACCCCACACTCGATTGCAGCTCTTGCATAGTAGGATGTAGCCACGAAAACAAGGCCTCTATCAGAGCTTCACCAGTTCGGCAACATTCTTCTAGGGGGGGCATGTAGGGCTCTCACGGCCGGTGCTTTGCATTGTGTTTCTGCTTCGAGATCTTGAGACAAGGCGGGCCTTGACCAGCAGCCCGTGCGGGTATAGTTTGCGCCTGGAGCCTGGACTGTAGTGTGCTCGTAGCAGAGAAATGCTTGTGCATGGTAGTATAGCATCGAAGTAACCTGGTAGTACACCAGCATTGCGGTGCCGTTGCCATTCTCACTCAAGACGTCTGGCTGTCAAGCTTTGTGTCGCGCATGCTTAGGATTCCTTAAGCGACGATGGGTACGCCTGGGTGGGTGCAGGTTTGGGACATGCCTCCCGACGTGTTCAAAAAGCCGCTTGCCTTTTTCCACAAAAAGTGCGGCGGTGCTACCGCAGAACATGCGCCTGTGAAGTGCGACACTCTCTCAACAGACAGACGGGAAGTTTTGATGGAGACAAAGTCCACGGCTACAGCAACAGCTCTTGTCGCGGCCGTGAACAAGTGGAAGGTGGGTATCCCGAAGATGAAAGCAAAGGTCATCGGTGCAGAGGAGGTCGACCAGCTTTTGGGAGCCTCCGCCGCCAGTGCCACCGCCAGCACTTTCGTGTTAGTGAAGAACCTACCAGAAGATATAGAAGACGTCAATGATATGAAGTTGATGTCGGACAACATCAAGGCAGCAGAGATCGGTGAGCACATGACTTTCGGCCGCATCGCAATCGCCGAAACACTTGACGTTGATGCAGCCAAGGCCTGTGTTCAGACTTTCAACATCCCCCATGCTGGCGGAGTCATGACGGCAGAGCTTATCACAAGTGCGAAGAAGGCAGCGGTCTTACAGGAATGCATCTCCATGGAGAAGGCCCCACCTCCCCGCCAGCGTAGTCGGAGCCCAATGCGGATGCCGAACCTTACGCAAGCACAGATAGACGAGCAGATGCGTGAGCAGAGGCGAGCGGCCGCTGAGCAGTAGAAGAGGAGCGGACAGTCTCTGCAGAAGCAGATCGCTGGCCCTGTCTATAACAAATGTCCATTATAAGCGCTGGCGAAGCGCTGAACTTGCGCCTTTCCCGTTGCTTTTCGAAGCTAAAATCGGGGATGCCCCGACAGCTTGCCATGGTGCTCAAGACTGCATATTCAGGGGCGTAAGATATGTTGCAATGACGATACGACAGTTTCACGATATTATGGTAACTTCACGGAAATGAGGGGCTAAGAACAGCGCAGTAGCATGGAAGATGTTATCCTGCCATCTGCCGTTCTAGACGTCATTAATGCAGACATTGCAGTTGAAACCCCCCGCCCCGCATGATCAGCTCTAAACGTCCAAGCATACGAGGCTTCATAAAAGCGAGGCCCGCAACAAGTCCTGGGTCCCATATCTCCATGTAAGCCTATGATCCTAAAGCACGAAAGCTAAACCCTAAGCCACAAACCCTACCTGAACCCTGAAGCCTAAAACCGAAATTCTTCTCAGCGCCAGATGCTGGCTCTGCATAAGTACCGCAAAACAGAAGACAACCACCCATTACATTTCCGTTAAGGCCAGGCTTCGTACAGGTTCGCCGAATTATCCTCTGTAGCTCAATAAACTAGCTCTCTTGGCCCATGGAAACCGGAATGAAGTATTCCTACTTCCGAACATGGAAAGGCATTGAGGCTCATAGGCTCATAGGCGCTAACCCTTCAGCTTTGCACATTGAAGATGGGCATGAGTAAAGAACAAAGCTCAAGGTGCCGGCCTTCCGTCCCTCTCGTGACTCTCCTGCACGGGTGTTTGGGGCAGACGGTGTTTGGGGCAGACCTCGGCGAGGAGTCAAGAGCTTCAGTGGTCGCATTGCGCCAGGTTCGGACGGAGCCAGGGTACAGGTTTTCAGGATGCTGTCCAAGAAGGGCTGATCGTAGGGCTTTGAACTTAAACTGCCGTGGCAGCCCGGCAGACACCTGACAAAGGCTTTGGGTGTGGGGTTTGTGGGTCATGATAGAACTGTTGCTGCTGCCGTGTTCCGCATCAGGGGGAGCGCGCCGACCTTGTTTGGCTTCTTAAGGAAAAGCCACAAGCCCACAAGTGAGGAAGCATGCATGTGCAACCCGACAAGTCCTCCAGGAGAGCACCTTGTACACCATCACATTGTGACACGGCGACAGTACACACGAGATCAAGCACCTTAGCACGACCCTACATATGACTGGCCCTAGACCCTGTAGGGTCTTAGGGTTTAGGCTTAACGGCTTAACAGCATAATAAGCATATTTATAGTATATCATTATCTTTACTGTTATGATAATAAAAATCGGTATCTTATCATTATAGTCATCATAATCCAAGGTCCATATCCACTGAGTTTCAGCACGCACGCGCACACACACACACCCGCACGCTCGTACAAAAACAAAAGCACATAAAGTATATACACAGCCGAAACCGAAAAACAAACCGCAAAACATAAACGACAAAATACACAGGGCAAAACACAAATAGCAAAACAACAAAAAAACAATCCGCACAACAACAAACCACAAAATACAAATCGCAAAACACAAAGCGCAAACCCAAATCGCAAACCACAAAGCACAAACCGCAAACCACAAAACACAAACCGTAAAACACAAACCACAAACACACATCGCAAAACACAAAACACAAGCCGCCAAAAACAAACCACACATCGCAAACCACAAAACACAAACCACAAGACACAAATACAAATCATTACAAATCGCAAACCACAAACTACAAACCACAAAACACAAACCGTAAAGTACAAACCATGAAACACAAAACACAAACCACGTAGCACAAACACAAATAATCCTCTCCGACGTGACGGCCTCGCAATGCCTCCCAGCCAGGCACGTATATGTTAATGTCACTGCGGTAAGTCTGCGGGCGCAGACCCGTATATATGCTTGCACGAGCTTGAAGAGGGAACTGTTGACGCATCTAAGTTGGGAGATGTTGTTCTTTCGGGTGCTGCCAGCCGCTTTCTTCTGGAACTCATGGGGGGCCGCGGGCAGCACAACATGTAGGTGTAGGTCACTTTCAGACAGTGTTGCGAAGAAACGAGAGCTGTTAGACTCCTAGACTGTCAGACTCTTAGGCTGTGCTGATGGTTCCGCGGAACAGATCATGGAGGAGCAACGAGATGAGGCGCGTATGGTCGGGACCCTTACTCTTACGGTGCGCCTTTCCATGCTGTTACAGGTGTGTGAGTGGTGTCCTGAGTCCTGGGGTGTATGCTCTCCAGGCTCGTGAGGCTTTACAGTAGCAGATGCGGCGCTCGTTTCCTTTTTCTGGCATCGGCCCGACACTAGCACCAGACTGCCATAGACTGCCCCTTTCCAGTGCCGCAGTCTGCGTTTGAAGTACAGCAGGTGTTGCCGAGCGGGTTTTCGGGGCGGTTTTAGTTTCCACAGCAGCCTCCTCCCAGAGCTGCACAGGCAACATGCCCAGCCTGGCCTTGTTGACGATGCGTAAGCTTACGCTCGTGCTGGTGAATTGTCACACAAAATCCCAACAAAGGGGAGTGGGCCACTCGCTGGAAGCCAAGAGCACGTCGATGACAGTAGTAACGCAACATGTTGGCTGTCTCGACATGACTCTTGTACGAGCTTCGCCAAGGACAAGGCTCCAGAGAAGCCTTTCTCAAAGCGTCTGACAACGAAGAAGTGAGATTAGAGTGAAGTTTAGCTTCTAGTTGGGTTCTGCATGATGACGGGATGCCTTTGACGTTGCAGGCTGCACTTACAGGGGTTTAAGTGAATTGAGTTGTGTGGCCCCCGCGGGGGTTTAAGTGAATTGAGTTGTGTGGCCCCCGCGGGGGTTTAAGTGAATTGAGTTGCGTGGCCCCCGCGGGGGTTTAAGTGAATTGAGTTGTGTGGCCCCCGCGGGGGTTTAAGTGA